TTAGAAAAGTTATAAACTGGCAGCTCATGTAAACTGCTCCAGCTGAGGAACTTTTTGGAAGGATGCTCTATAAGAAATTAAAATATATCTTCTCTTGGAAGAAAAGGGCCAATCTCTTTGGAATCAATGAAGCTGGAATTACAGTAGAGGAACCTTTTAAATCATGGGGTGACTCCTTCTGAGGGGATCACCCTGAAGTCCCTAGGGTTTCAGAACAGCCTGGTTTGGAGTCTGTAGCTCCCACTGTCCAGAGCAGAGAAATTGAAGCAGACTTTGTTTTGATACCTTCTGAAGAAAAGTTTCCGGTTCCTCTGAAGGAATGAGAAGAGGAATGTTCTAGTTTGTCTTGCCTCTGATTTTGCTGTGAAGGTTAAATTCCTGCCACCTCTTTTGACGTCTGTGTCAAACAAAGGTTTGAACTTTAAGATGACTTCTACTTCTAGCTGGTGGATTTTTACCATTTTGTCACTGCTCAAACATCAATCAAGCCATAACTAATGGCACTTGTATTTTAAGTAGGGTGAGTCAGGGTATCCCTGAAGACAGACTCCATGGAGCTTCCCTTATGATTAAGGAAGTAGAAAACACACCTGTAAAAGGGACATAGTGGTACCAAGCAAGATAGATTTGATAACTAATGAACAATATAGGCAATAGTATCTTGGGAAAAGGAAAAAAATCAATGAAAGTGAAAAATAGGAGAACCATGCCTTGACAGATTGATAAGATTTGGGGAGATGGAAAGAGTAGGACCTAACCCATCAGGGAGAGGAAAAAGAGGTCAGAGATAGGAGAAGTCTGGAGGTGCATGTGGGAGATAGTGAGAGGAGTTTGGATAGCTCAGTGTCTATTCTGGCAAGTTCTGGGACAAGGGGATAATAGATGGAAGAGGGTCAGCAAAAGAGAATGGAAAGATCAGAAAGAAGACCTGGAAAGTGGACCCTTTCTCATGTATTCTTCAGTAAGTCTCAAAACCTCATCAATGGGATGCCCAAATTCCCCTAGTCTGTGGTTGGAGATGGTATTGGGCTCCTTGATTTCTTCCCTCTTCCTGTGTGAGAGTCTTCAATAGAAGGTCTTTAAGAGACAAGAGGAGCCTGAGCTACTGGGAGGCATCGATAGTTGAGGAATTCCTCCTGTGCTCTATGAGACACAGCAGCAAACATAGATCCTGGGAAAGAGATTTGGAATTCAAGGCACAGAGTAAACTCTCTTCTGCCCTGTCCGGTAGAACTTTCTGATGGGGATGTTCTGAATTTGTGCTGTCCAATAGAGTGGCCACTAGTCCATGTGGCTGCCAACCACTTCACACGTGGCTTGCATGACCATGACACTGAATTCTATAATGAACTATATAAGAAATCTCTGCCCTCAACATTTTTAATAATCTACCTAAAATTTTAAAGCAATGAATATATGAGATAATTTTTTAAAAGATAAAGTGAAATGCTTCAAAACAGCAAGATAAAACATGTCACAAGATGATTTGTGTCTCAGATAATAAGTGAGGAAAAGGGTGAGGAAATTTGGGATAGAATGAGCCAACATAGGGCTTTAAGGAGAATGCTTGAGCCAAATTCTGAAGGAAGCAAAATGACAGATATAAATTATAAGATTTTGGAACTAGAAGGGATCATAGAAATAATCTAATTCAAATCCATCATTTTATGGCTGATTCAACTAAGGCCAGAGAGTTAAGTGACTTGTTCCAATTTCCTCATCTGGGTAATAGTGGCAGAAAAAGGTCTAAAATGCAGATCTGTTGATGCTTATCCAAGCCCATACACCACATGGGATGAGGAGTAGAGTCTTATAGTTAGGAAAGAAGAAAGTGTTCTGAAATGAATCAGTGAAGCCATGTGTCTGAGGACATTTTCTGTGTGTAAGGGCAGAAAACATAGGGGAGGGGGAAATATTAAAGGGGCTTGCAAACTTGCAATTAATCAGTTATGCAAATCTGATAATTGCAATTTCTGAAGTCTCCCTTTGACACAGGGACAATGACATAAACTTTTCTAGAAAAATGCTGTTCTTCTCATCCTAACAAAGACTCAAGTTGACCTGGGGAAGGGGAGAACTGGCATTGCCTGCCAATCTATAGAGGGCAGGGATGGATGTTTTTTATCACTACAGGTCCTCAGAAAACCTGATTTAGGAATTTATAGGGTTTTAAAGTACCCCTATGATTCTCATGATCATCCGGTGTGAAGGATCTTCTGATTTACCTCTTTACCTATCTATCAAATACAGACTACGACTTTGGAAAACTCACAATGTTTACTAAATGCATGTCTCTAGGATCCAGCATTACACACCCAGACATACTCTTGTGTTCCCCAAAAGGCATACATAAGAATATCCAGGTTATTATAGTCCCAAACCAGAAACAACCCTGTACCCATCAGTATTAGAATGGGAAAAAAAAATTGAGGTATATTCATCCCATGGAAACCTACACATAATTAAAGAGAACAAGCCACTGTTACATGCACCAATAAAAATGAATACAGAAATAATGATAAGCATAAGAAGCCAGACACAAAGGAATAGTCACTACACAATTCCATTTATATGAGATTAAAGAATTGGCATAAATAATCTAATGATTGTAATCAGAATTGCCTCTTTATAAGTGGTGTTAACCAGGAAGGGCCTAAGAGACACTCTAGGAGTCCTGAACTCTTCTATATCTCAATTGGATAGTGGTTATGCAGTTATATAGACATGTAAAAATGTATCAAGCTGTTAACTTGTTGAGTTTACTGTGTATATAGATTACACCTTGTGGAAAATAAAAGATACAGAATTTGCACTGTCAACCTCACAAGGTTGTAATAAGAACCCCATAGCCTGTGGGGCACAGTGGTGCATGCATGTAATCCCAAGACTCAGAAGGCTGAGGCAGAAGGATCACAAATTCAAGGCCAGTTCCGGCAACTTAGTAAGACCCTGTCTCAAAATCAAAAATTAAAAGGGCTAAGGATATGGCTAAGTGGTTAAGCAGCTTAGGTTCAATCCTTGGTACTAAAAGAATCCCATAGCTTTTTGAAATAGACAAGTAGAGTCTGCTATTCTTTAACAAGTTCAATAATTATTCTTCTCCTTGAAGCCAGTTACATGTACTACCTGTGATCCAGGTGACCCAACAGCTTTCTTAAGTTCAGCAAAACATACAAAGTTGGTTGCATGGGAGCTCACAGTCACTTCTGAGCTTGGAAAGGACACACAGTAACTATAAACTGACTGAGGACACACTGCAGCTGCTGGCATGTGCTTCCAAAAGAGCTTTCTCGTTCTGCTGATGGTGAGCTTTGAAACTCGGGGGAAGAGGTCCCTGCAGCTGCATCTTTGCATTCTGTGCCCCCACTTTCCTCTCTGTTTCCCTCCCCCGGAAGACAGTAAACACCATCTGTACCACTGCATTCAGCAACCCGGAAACCAAAATCTCTTTTTCCCATCAAGAAAATTACCCTCATCCTGAAGTGCTCCTGGCCATGGGTAACCAGCCACACAGTTTCTGCCAGCTCCAAAGTTTGCCGGCTCTGAATTTACCCTGAAACTGTCTGTGGCCATTAGTACCTGATGTGCAATTGTGCAGGGTAAGAATAAGGTGAAGGTAAGCGAGAGAGTAGGTGCAAGGCCCTCATTACTGGGCCATTACTTTTTCAGTCTTTGAAAATGTCCTGTGTGCTGAGCAGCGTACTTCAGGCAGCTAAGTATAAACACATGTCTACAAACACTGATAACGCTATCTTTATTTGTCCATTATTCAACAAAGCTAGCTCACCTGAGGACTGTTTGTTCCTCTACAAAATGAGAATCTAGTGCCACATGTATTAAAATGTGGGACATTTTTTTTTCAGAGTATAAACTTTTAAAGGCAGTTTCCACACCTTTTCTGGTATACTCTCAAGTCCTAGGGTTTCTTTAACATATAACATAAAGTTGATTTTAAGATAAAACTATATAGTCTGATTCATTGTATCAGTTTTTCTGAGTTTGACCATTTAGTTTATGCTGTGTCTGATTTTCAGAAGCCAGGAATACATAAGACATGTTCAGCAATTTGTGTGAAAAACCTGCAGGTATTGCCTGAGTTGTGAATTCAAGCAAGTATTTTTTGTTTTGGCAAGATAGATATTTGATAAATGTTCAAGAATGAAAATGAATGTTTTCAAGAGGGAAGAAATGTAAATTTTTATGCAGTGTGATCACACAAGCAATACCACCCATGAATATGTCTATTTCCTAGAATAAAACCCTATGCTGGACTCCCTCTTCATCCCTCACCCCTGAAAAACCCCAAGGAGAGTGCATATCAATAAGGATATTATTGACTCCTAATTAAAATTAGGAGTCAGCCTTGAATGAATCTTTATCCAGAAGGAAAAAAAAACAAGAAAACCAATACTGCTCAATTCCATTGAAAAGAGACTTAGAAAAAGCAGCACACAACTCTTCAGTCACAGAAAGCCAAATACAAAATCACCTGTGAGAAAAGTTAAACTATCTGAGGAAAATAAATTTCAAAGAAATGAGCCTTATTTTCTCCTCTTCGTTGTTTCTGAAAGAATATTTTGACAAAGTACCCTGAGATTTTTCTGTTCTCTGAAGTTTTTCAATTGCTACTAAGAAAACATTCACCTGGGGTTGAAACTATGGGGCGTGATCATCTTTCTCACTGGCCAATTAATTCTGCAGGAAGGGAGAAATTAGGAAAAGGTAATGACTGGTCTCCAGAAAATGCACCTCAACCTTAATGCTCACAAAATCCCCCCCCCCTCATTTGTCTCCTGTCTCTCTATTCACTCACTTTTCTTTCTTAAACCTACATGTCAAACTCAAGAAGTAATTCCCAGAGCAAAAACATACCTGGCAGGGAATCTGAGTTTGAATAAAACTTCCTATTGTGCACACAGCTCTGTCTGTCATGACATGGGAGTTGTTTCCTGAAATATCTACCACCCTGGGACAGCAAGCAACTTTCAGCCAGTGCTTACCTGTCTGCCGACAGTGCCGTGAGTGTGAAGACAGACACCCCGACGGAGGTTAGCTGTATAAAGGGGATCAGCTTGCAGCCAATCCTGCCAAATAGCCATCTGTCAGCCAGGTACCTGCTGGCATCAACAGGAGCACACGTTACCAGGAGGAGCAGGTCTCCCAAAGCCAGACTGGAGATGAACAGGTTCGGCACATTTCTCATGGACTTGACTGTACAGAAGATCTTGATCAGAGTGACGTTGCCAATGAGGCCTATCAGGATAATAACCCCATAAATTGCGGGGATGACATAGAGGATCCCCGGGTGGAACCAGTCGTCATTCACAGGGAGATCCACGCTGTTATTGGAGGCATTGCAGTTCGTGAAATTGTCCACTTTCAAGTTCAGAAGTAAACAATTGTTTGGATCCATCTCTAGACTTCTTCTCACCTAAAAGTGCCCTGAAGATGCTGTTTCTTAACTTTTGATGTTGCAGTTAGGTGAAGATGAGGATGAGATCTAGTCTGGCCTCTTTATCTTCTTTAATAAAAATACCCTAAGTGTGTAGATACTATGGTATTCAAAACTGTCACTATTTTGATGCTGGAACTGCTCTGGCCTTTTCGTAACCAGTGCAGTACACCTCAATTGAACAAGTTAACAACAAAAACTCAGTCCAAAGAAAGGCTTAGCATGAAGCCCACTCTGTCTCAGCTCTATCTATCTCCATCCTAGTCTGAGACTCCCCGGCTACAGTTAACCAAGAACTTTTGGCCTGCTGTTTTCACACTGCATTTCCTGTCTTTCCTGATATTTAGAACCTGAAGGTTTAAAGTGGGTAGAAAAAAACTGCACTGGGAAAGTCTCAAATCCTATAGGCAGGATGCTTTGCACGTCACCGGCTTCACCAGCAAACAGCAGCTCTCCTGAGCGCAGGCTCTGAAGAGGAACCCGACCACGTATAGACAGAGAATGCCAGCCCCCTACTGGACACTGCGATCACTGCCCAGCCGCCCGCTCTCTCCAAATGAGAACCAACCAGCAAACCGCAGTTCCTACGTGGCTTAACCTTTGGCTTCTCTTTTAAGCACGCAGAACCTATGGTAGGTGCTTAATGAACGTTGCTGGCACTTTGCAAAAACGTTGGAAATATTTCCCACACTATCTCCATGAACTCAGATGGGATTCGTAGCCCATTTCCCCCCACTTTTCTGATACATTAGAATGGCATGTTAGGGTTGCTCTAAAAGGAGGTCTGTGAATTCAAATCCCAGAGATGCACGGGGCGTCTGGCGTGAGCTGTCCCGCTCAGCCTTCTTGGAAAGGGGACTGCTACTGAGAAACGCACACAGGACTCATGCCTTGAACCTCCAGAGACAGACATCTGGGAAGACCAAAAGCACAATGCACACATGCTCTTTCCTGGCGATTTGCCAAGCCCTTCCTGTTCCCTCTACCAGGGCTCCAGCTGTATCCTTAACTCTCAAAGATCAATAGTCTTTTCCAGAAAATTGTGGGGTTTTTTTTCCCCTCATGTTATCTAAAAATTATATGAATTGGCATTTTGATGTAGCTATTTGCATTTTTTTTATTGAATGCTTGCTATGTTTTATAGCAAACTCCCTCTTAAGCCCTGAGTGGGAAATAAAGAACTATATACAAGATTTACAGATTCTCCCAAGAAATTGGGGGGGGAGGATGGGTAGTGGAAGAAATAAGTAAGAGTTAAAAGAATGGTAGGAAAGATTTCATTAAGGAAATACTATCAGAATCAGACTTAGGCCTTTAGCCAACAACTTATAAACATATCTTCAAGACTTATGTGAAGCCAGTTCTTCCAGGTACATGATAGAAAGCCACGGAGGTCTCATTTTCCAGGACCCATTAGGAATAAAGAAACTTGTACTTGTTACCCTGCCAGGGCCCACAAGATTCCAAGAGTATTGTCATGAATATTTCTGGTGGCAGGTTACAACAGTAAGAAGGCTGCTATGCTTCTTCTGTAAATATGAAATACTCCTTTTAGCCAGCAGTAGGAAGACTGATGCTACATGGCTGGAGGTACAAGATTCTCAGTGGAGCTCCATCATTAGCAATGAGTCAATAACCATTAGCCTATTGGTGTCAATCAGTTGCCAGCTGTATGACTTAATGATACAGTACGTGGACTCTGCTTCAATCCTGGGTCTCTCGTTTACTACCTTTGGTAAGTTAGTATCTTAAGGTTCAGGTTTCTCATTTGTAGGGTGGGGATAATTTGTGAAGCTAAATGAAATGATTCCTGTTAACATAGAATAGTACGGGGTGTAGTGGTACACGTCTCTAATCCCAGCAACTCAGAAGCTGAGGAAGGAGGATCACAAGTTCAAGGCCAGCCTCAGCAACTTAGCAAGACCCTGTCTCAAAAATAATAATAAAAAAATTAAAAGTACTAAAGGACTGGGGGTGTACATCAGTGGTAAAACACCTCTCAGTTCAAGCTCCAGTATATAAAAAAAATGAATAGCATTTGGTCCATAGTAAGTGTCCAATTAATATTAGCTGGTTATTATTATTACTGCAATTATTACTTTGAGATTGAGGGGAAACAGTTTATTTTGGAAAAGGTCAGAAGAGTAATTGCTCTCAGATTAACAAGCAAGGGATTCCATTTATACTAGTGAATCAACAACTCCTCTATTCATTTGAAAAAAAAATTTTTTTGACATCTACAGTTGCCAGACACTGCATTGGAGGCTGAGAAAAATAATGTGATGATATGAACCCCATGCCCTTTCTAGAATGCAGTACCTATGTTTTCTTCAGGAAAGGTGATAATTGATCTCAAAGGTTGAGTCAATGTTTGGCAATTGAGTTGGTGATGGATCCTGCATTTTTTTTTAAATGCTTGTTTTTTAGTTGTAGTTGGACACAATACCTTTATTTTATTTATTTTTATGTGGTGCTGAGGATCGAACCCAGGGCCTCACACGTGCCAGGCGAGTGCTCTACCACAGAGCCACAACCTCAGTCCAGATCCTGCATTCTTATTAAGAAGTTTGGTATAGAGTTTTGGTTCACAAAGACTTTTTCTGGAAACTGTTTCTTTTTATTTCTTTAGCTACCTCTGTGTGTTGAGTCAGCCTCAGTTCTTAAATCCAATTGGGCAATTAGTGTTTCTTCCCATGTAAGTTAAGCAGATGCTGATGGATGTTGATTCCTCACAGCTGGTGTTAGGGTCCTGTGTTCCAAGGCACTATAGAATGTTCTAATGGCATTTTAGGAGTGAAGGGTATATTGAAGTTTGACACCTCATATTTTCTGAGATCAAGGATGTTTTAAAAGGCTAATTAGAAAATTTCGATGTCATTTCCACTAATTAGCTATACTGATTCTTTCCATCCCTACCATTATGTGTCACCTTCCTGCAGAACACCAAACATACTCTGACCTTTGCTTAGCTTTGTATTTAGTGACAAGTTATGAGAAAGCCTGTGACTTGTGAAAATGACATGAAACAAATAGAATAAGAGTCCCTGTCCTCAGGGATTCCGGTTTCTGAATCGAATTGGAGGGTGACTCAGCATCTTTTCTTACGTGTTGGGGACCGGATACACTTTTATTTCAGCCAATAGAATCACATTTTCCATTTTCCCAGAAAAGTAGATTTTCTGTGAGACTTAATATGGGGATGGGGCAGTGACTTGATAAAGTTGAGGAGGATGGGTAGATTTATGTGATGGAAGAGAGTAGAAACGAAGTCTCTTCCCACTAACTTGGTGAAGCAAAAATGTGCATTAATTGGGTATGATTAATTATAGAGTGGGTAGAATTTGAAAGTAGAGCCACAAGAAAGAAAAGGGTATGCTCTGAATCTGCTTGAGAGACAGTCTCCCTGTAACAAAGGTTTGGAAGGGAATGAAAATGAGAAATAAAAGATCTTAGATCTGTTGGGTAAGACTGCATTTAAGGTTTTAGGTTAAAGTTTATCTTATAAGATACAGTTCTTTTAAAAAAAATATTCATTAAGATTGATTGAGGTGCTTTATAAAAATATAAACTCTGGGATCCTAGCCCAGATCTACTGAGTTGGAATCTCCAGGGATAGAACCCCCAAATCAGTATTTTTCATTAGGTCTCCAGGGGATTCCAGCACTGTGTTATACTGGGGACCAGTGATGTAGGCAGTGTGTGATTCAATGATTCTGACAACATTACAGCACTTGTTCTGGCCTTCCTGCTGAGAAAGATGGTAAATAAGAAAACATATTGAAGAGTTTGATGTTATGGGCTCTTGCTACCCAAAATGTGGTCTGTGAGTCAGCAGCATGGACATGACCTGAGAGCTTGTTACAAATACAGAATTTTGGCTGAGTGTGATGGTATACACCTATATAATCCTAACTACTCAGGAGGCTGAGGCAAGAGGATCACAAGTTCAAGGCCAGACTGGGCAAGTAAGCAAGACCCTGTCTCAAAATGAAACGGGCTGGAGATACAGCTCAGTGGTCAATCCCCAGGACCACACACCCCCTTCAAAAAAAAAAAAAAAAAAAAAAAGTCCAGACAGGTACTAGGAACAGATGGGAGATTGGAATCTCAAGTTCAGAATGGAACCAGCAACTGAAGAATCTCAAAGCTAAATTAAGAACCGTTGAATTGGAGTTTTTTAATATCCCTGATAGTAGTGGCTAAGAATTGTCCCAAGCTACATGGCAGGTAAGTTGTTTTTGCTACAACACAGAGGCAACAATTCCATCACAGGAAATACAGGCAATGGAGAAGCCCAGGATGGTAATTTTCTCAGGGTTTGTCACTCAGAGAATAAAGAAGGACAAGAGGGAAGTCACTCTAGAGGGAAATGCTGAAGCTGGTTTATATTGAGTTTGCTCTATGAACAAGGGGATGTAAGTCCACCAGTGGAATTGAGAGGTGAAATCTGAAGGCAGAGGGTAAATAATGAAGAGGACCCACAGAACTAGAAAGCTGAATGTCACACAATTTAAATGTATAGTAAAAAGATTCGTGGAGAATTGAGTGAAGTTAGCTTTGAGAAGGTCATGTGGTTAAATTCAGTGGGTACTGAGCATGATTTCATTATTAGATTTGTGACAGTTTCGTGGAGAAGCTGCTAAAAAGATTGCAGCAACCCTCACTTGAGAAGAATCAGAGATGTCAAATTTTAGTCCTGCAGCAGAAACAAACAAGGCAGATGACTCTATCCAGATCCTGAGATCCTGGGATCATTTCAAGTTCCCTTTTCTGTTCTCAACCTTCTGTGACTTTTCAATAGACTGGAAAATTTAGGAGAAAGCTGAAGGGAGAATTCCAGGAGAAAAAGTCAAGTTGCAGGAGTAAATGTGGATGCCCAGAGGAGTCCTGGAGGGAAGACCACATTCTCAATCAGTGGGGAGCCCAAGAGAACACCTGGTGTGGTGGTTTTAAAATATACCCTTCAATTCTTGGTATGCTTTTCTTTAAGAGACAGAGACTAATCTACTTCCCCTTGGGTGTGAGCCATACTTACTGACTGGCTTCTAGCAAGTGGAATGAGACTACAGGGACAGTGTAATTTCCAAGACTAGATGGGAAAGGACACTGAAGCTTCCTCTTTGGGATCACTTGCTCTGGAGGAAGTCAGCTGCCATGTCTTGAGGACACTCAAGTGACCCTATTGATAGGTCCACATAAACTGAGATCTGTCCACACCTATGTAACTGCATCATTTTGGAAGCAGATCCTCCAGCCCCAGTCAAGCCTTCAGATGACAGCAACCTCAGTTGACACCTTTTGTGAGGGATCCAGAACCAGAACCACCCAGCCAAGT